CCCCCCCCCCACCCACACCAGACACAAACACCAGCACACCCATTCTCAGCCACTCCCACCTGTGCCGGAAGCCCGCGCTGCGACCCATGGAGCTGGGCATGGAGAAGGCGGAGATGTTCATGGTGGACTTGAGGCTGCTGGAGATGGGGATGGCGGTAGGCGTGACGATGCGGCGGGACACGGGCATGGCCGCCGCGCCGGTGCCGGCGGGCGAGGGCAGCAGCGCGTCCGAGTATTCGGCCTGCAGGCCCTCCTCCGCGATCTCCACGTCGTCGCCGCGGCCGTACACCACTGTCCCCGCCACCAGCACCACGAAGCCGGTGGCCTGGATCCAGGAGTAGGCGTTCCAGGACTCGCCCAGGTGGCCCCGGCCCAGGGGGGTGTAGTAGAGCAGAAGGCCCACCAGCCACACCGCCAGCGTGCGCGTGGTTTCCAGCACTGTGCGGAAGACGGCGCCGAAGTGGCCCGTCACGCACATGCCGGAGATGTTGAGGCCCAGCAGGGCGACCAGGTCCAGCAGCACCACCGCCAGGATGGAGGGGGTGTGCCATAGCATGTACAGTGTGTCCAGGGAGTCCTCGTGGATGCCCTGGCCCTCCCTGCCGGGCAGGAACTGGACCACGGGCATGAGCACCAGGGTCATGGCCAAGAAGCCAAACACGCCCTCGAAACCCACAATCTTCAGGGGCGGCACCGCCATGTTGGACTGTTGATGGGGCATGGAGGGGGGTTCCATTTGGGCGAGTGTGTATCGATGGGAAGGGGAAGGGGTGTACTCCGAGCACGACAGGTGATCGACTGGCAAGGGGGAAAGGACAAGGTGCAGTGCAAGATCAAGCTGCCTTGCTGAGGCCGTGCAATGGTCTGCCCATGCTTTATGGGGAGTGTCTGAGCAGCTGGCCGAGCCAGGTCCATCAGACTACCCCACCCAACAACATGAGAAACCCTGCCCACCCACGCCGCACACCATGAAATGGTCCTCGAAGGTGAGCTGGGCGGCCTGCACGCATTGCGACATGATGATCAGCAGCATGCCAAAGACGATGTCGCGCTGGCTGACCACGTGGTGGGCGCTGCCCTCGCCTGTGGGGCGGTTGGGGGTGGTGGCGGGGGGGAAGGTGGGGGGGGGTGCGGCTAGGCAAATTTGATATACTTTGGGGAGGGAAGAGGGGCACGAAAGAGGGTTGGTTCGAGAACAGCGCAGCGCCCACGGTGGCAGCACGGATCGTCGATACACTCCAGTGCATACCACACTCCTTCCTAGCATAGATGACCCTGGGGAGGGGGGCTGCCCATACCCACGCTGCATAACCGCTTCAGGGCCTGGCTGCTCAGCATCCACCGAAGCACAGACCAAGGCGTGGTCTCACCTGCCATGGTGCTGGCATACCCAACCAGGCCGATGCCAATGACACAGCACAGAATGCCGCTGTAGTGGTACTTGTTGAGGCTGCAGGGCAGCGTACAAGGGAGGGAGAGGTTTGACAGGTTTGAGCGAGGCGGCACAAGCAAAGGGCACGTGAGCATCAGTGACAGATGCGACCCCTGGTCGAGGATCCATGCCCTTGATGCGTCGGCATGCCATCAGGCTGAAACCAGCCGTGGTAACACGCAAGCCATGTTCCGCATGGCCCCGCGCCTGCTGCGCTTCCGGTGAATGGTTTCACAACCAGGCGAATGCCCACTCTCGACTCCGTGCCCCCCCCATATCATCCACCACACGCAGGGGCACCTGCGCTTCAGGAACACGACGGCGAAGAGCGCGGCGAAGAGCATCTCCGCGCCACGCATCATCTGGTAGACGGAGGCGGTGACGTAGAGCAGGCCCACGTTCATGAGCACGGTGGCGACCAGATCGAAGAAGGTGGGAATGGCGATGGGCAGGTTGGCCAGGAACATGTTCTTCTCCGCCGGCGGCCTCGCCACCTGGAGCAACGGCCGCCAGTGGATGAGAGGTGTGAGTGGAATGGCGCAGGGGGAATGCAGGATCCATGCATGTGTCGAAGCCCATGTTGATCAACACCAGCGCACCTCGCCAGGCGCTGCCAGCAGCGGTTCGTTGACCCCGCCGTTCTCTGCGGCGGTGGCCGCCTTGTCCAGCTTCTCCAGGTACAGCGCCAAGGGCAGGCAGAAGCACATGCCGCCAAACATGACTGTGCAGGGGGAGGGGGACGGGAGACATGCCGTGAGGCTGGGGATGCATGGAGCTCGGCGCCCCAACCCCTTCATCCCACCTCGCCCCAACCCCTTCATCCCACCTCGCCCCGCCCCAACCTGCGGTCATCGCCCAGGGCTTTTCGAATGTCTTGACGGTCCCATCGCGCCCGACGCCCTCGATCTCATACACTGCGGGGGGGGGATGGGTCGACAGGGGATCAGTTGAGTGTGAGGCGACTTGCGTCTTGTCAGCCCTCGGGGCCGGGAGGGACCGATGCATGGCGAGTCCCGCAGAACCCAACTCCGATGCATGACCGAGACACCATGCATGGGGCCATGCCCATTCTACCTGTCTTCGCAGCAAGAGACACGAAGGTGCCGAGGGTGATGAGCCCCGCTACACTGGTGTAACTCCCAAGTGGCACCATGGCGGTGAGCAACCCTTGAGCGCACGAGTCTGAACGCGACGCGGGGTCTTCCTGAGGAGTCCCCGACAAGTTCGATATCTCCAGAAATGTCAGGCATGCTGCCCCTTGGTTGCATGTGGCCAAAGAGTACTTAGCGGGGCGCGGGGTTGGATACAACCCAGGGCGCGGTCTTCCTTAAGAAACCCTGATCGGCGTAGGGTCGAGGACACCACCGGAACCAGAATGGGTTACCATCGATCCGTGAGCCTGCCCTGATGAATCCCACAAGTTGAAATCGCCCGGGGGTTTGAAGCGGAAGTGCTCTGCGGTACACACGAGGGGTTGTGCCTGGCAGACCAGTAAAGGTCAGCACACCTCATCAAGGACAAAGCCTCTACAACTTGCCTTATCTACAACCATGTGCCGAAAAATCAATTGCATATGGCTTGAGTTGAGTATGTGGACCGGAATCCCAGCGTCCGGATGGAGTAATTACTTCCTTGCTGAGAGTCTCGCGCGCGCTGCACAGGAAGTGATCCAGGGAACCACACAGAACCAGATTAGGTGGTTTACGAGCCACCATCACAAGGTCAATGCGATATTCTCTCGCTAAACCTTTGATATGGTGCGAGGGGGCGCCCAGTCACGAGGGGCTGCTGCCTTCGAGTCCCTCCTTGCGACAGAGGAAGTCACCCCGAGCACTCGGCGATCTAAAACCTCGACATCAAAATCCTCCAAAGGGAACTTGACGTCCGGCAGTAACCCCGTGCCAGGATTCCGTCTGCGTGCCGAAGCGGCAAAAAGTGATGGCGAGGCCAAGGTACTTGCAGATCTCTGCCAGGCTTTTGCGGGTGTCTTCCCCCGCGACACCGTTGCAGACGTGCTGCATGCATCCGCCGGCGACCCAGACCGTGCAGCAGCCAGCCTCTTGGCTTTGTCGGGCCACGAAGTCCGGGCTTCAGACGAGCTGGCATGCGGCAGAAGGGACACCGGCCTGCCTTCCCCCACAGCCAATGCTCCAGACCTGGAACCCATCTCCACCTCAGACCTCTGGTCCCTGCTCCCGGGAGACCTCAAGAAGATGATCCTGCGCCAGCTCAGCGTCCGTGACCTGGCACGGGCTGCGAGGGTGAATCGCGAGTTTGCATGTGTCTCTAGGAACCTGTCCAGCCAGGAGTCACGGCTGGTGCTCCCTCGAGGTACTCGGCGGGGGTGCTGTTTGATTGGAGGTGCAGACTGCCGCCGTACAATGGGGTTGCCTCCAAGATGCCCATGGCCTGGTCTGCCTCAATGTTGAGCCATGACCCCCTCCTTCCCTGCACCCTTGATCATGGCCTGCAGGCCTCTCGCCCGCCGCCGTCACGGGCGCGGTGACCGCTTTCCACCATGCCACCTCCGTGAATCTGTCCCAGTGGCACGCAGACTTTACAAGGCCAGAAGCCCTGGCGAGGATCATCCAGGCAATTGCAGCCGGCGAGGGAGCCAGGTGCGGGGCCTGGGTTGCCGTGGCAGGGAGATGGATGGTTGCTGACGTGCGGGCTCAACCCATCCTTCGATTTTCCAACAGTGTGGCTTGCAGCACACAAGGGAGCAGGGGTCACTGCCTCCCCTGGCCCGTGCTTGCTTTTTTGACGATTGTTGCGTTGCAGCGCAGCACGATCCCACCCGATGAAATCCCCACCCCGCCCCGCCGCGCAGGGCCTCTGGCACCCCGGTCCAGGAACTGGTGCTGCGGAAATGCGCCACGCTGGGAGGCGACTCCGTGGCGCTGATCTGCCGCGGCCTACCCCACCTCACCTCCCTGGACCTGAGGCGGTGCACGGGGCTAGGCGACGCCGCAGTCCTCGCACTGGCAAGGTACCGCCGGCGGGAGGCGGCCGCGAGTGCTGGGGAAGCGCCAGCGGAGGCAGCACATGGGCTCCTTGGTGCGGTTGTGGGCCCGGAGCCTGGCACCGCCACATCCGCGCCGCATGGGGCTGGTCCCCCGCTACGCACCGAGCCGGGACCCTCGTCCTGGCGGCTGGGCGATCCGCTCCTGGCGCCGGCAGATGCGCTTGCCCAAATCCTGGCCGCTCGTGTGGAGCGGGGGCAGGAAGCGGGCACCGCTGCGAGCGGCGCCGGCGCCCTCGCCTCTCTAGCGCTATCCGACGTAGACGCGCGCGCGCTGCGCGCGCTGTGGTCCGCCACGGCGCCCACAGCCCAGGGCCTGGTGAGCTTGAGCCTGCATGGCGCGCGTCGCCTCGACCTGCAGCCCCTCCTGAACAAGGCGGTGGGTCAGGGGAGAGGGGAGCGGTGATGTCTTTTTGTGAACAGCATCTTGCAACCCCTGCAGCCGGCGAGATTGGCATCCAAGGCACACCATCACCATGCTGTCCTGTGCACTATCCGCCATGCTCCGTCGCCAGGTACGATCCGGCCTGCGGCACCTACACGTCAGCGACTGCCCTCGGACGGAGCGCCTGGCCCTGGAGCTGCCGAAGAACCTGGAGTCCCTGTCCCTCACCGGGCTCAGGCAAGGGTGTTTAAAGCTTGAAATGCCAAGGGGCATGGGACTTGATTGTTGAGTTCCATCACAGGACATGAGGTGGGGCTGCATGCTGCAAATTGTTGTCTGGAGCGCCCATGCACCTGATGTCGTCACTGAGGCCGTCAGTTCAGTCGGCACTCTCATCCCCAGGCTCGTCCCTCACTGAACCTCCACGACGCCGGCCCCCCCCCCCCCCCCTCTGCAAACTCGCCCCGACTCCACAGGGAGGTCACGAGCATCAACTTTTCGGCGGCGCGCCTGCTGAGACTCACGCTGGGCGAGTGCCCCAAGCTGGGGTCGCTGAGCCTGACTGCCCCCACACTGCGAACGCTGCGCGTCGCCACAGGGTGCGGCAGCCAGGGTGAAGTAGCGCTGCGGCTCCCTCGACTCGCAGACTTCTCGGCGTGCGGCTGGCGCATGCTCAGCCAGTCAGGTCTGCGCCGAGCTGAGGCCAGGGTGGCCGAGGCTGGGGTGCATGAAGAGCATGAGAACGCCTAGAGCTAGAGGGGTTGGTGCGGAACAAGTGTCCTTGTGGACGGCAGGGATGACGCGGGCAAGGGCGCTCACTCCAGCACTCACCCTCCGCCCCGCTCGTCCGCACCATGCCCAGTCCTGGAGGCCCTGCTGCGCGGCTCGCCCGCCCTGCAGTCCCTCGGCCTGTCCGGGTGCCAGGGGGTGAGGACGCTGGCCATCCCCGCGGGCAGCCCCTGCCTCCAATCCCTGGAGCTTGAGCGCTGCAGCGGGCTCGAGTCGGTGCATGTGGCGGCTGCCGCCCCCCTCACCCGCCTGAGCCTGGTGGGGTGCAAGGCCCTCAAGGTGAGCGCTCAGCGGGGAGTGGACGCAGGGGCTGATAATCAGGTGCAAACCCCCTGAATGGGCACTTGGTAGCTCCTCAGTCCGAGGGGATGACCAGCAACATGGAGTTTCTGACTGGAGAGGTCTGCAGCAGTGAAAAGCACCACTTGTGGCTTGCCCATGAGCTCGGCACGGACGAAAACATACAGGAGGTGGTCGCCCCTAGGGACAGGCTGACTTTCGTGAGACTTGTGGACTGCGGCGAGCTGGCAGCCGTGCGGCTCATTCAGTCGGCTGAAAGCGATGGGGACCGAGCTCAGCTTGCCAACAAAGCCGAGGTGAGGTGTGAAGTCCCTCTGAAGCGAGTGCCCAGTTTCCCAGTCATGGTGCGATCCTTGAAGCTTCGTATGGGCATTGGCAGTGTACCCGCCCCCTGCTGAGCTCGTATGCTCTTCATGCTGTCCCCAACCATCAGGACACTCCCTTGAGGGTGCGGGGCTGCCCCCTCCTGGGTTCGACCAGCCGAGCAGCGCTGAAAGCTGCTGTGCTAGGACCGGTTGGTGGGTGAACGAGAAAAGTTCCGCCACTCCTGCTGCCAGAGTCTCGGTAGGTATGAATGACTGCCCCATTGCATCTTTGCATCCATGTGCAGCATTTTTCAGCATGGACTGGGCCAGTCTGTAGAGAGTAACTCGTTTCCACACCAGGCGTGCCAACTGGAACCCTCGCTTCTAAATGGAAGCACTTGCTGTCATGGGGCTGGTTAGTCCTTTAACCATGGACGGTTGTAGCTGATAAGGAGCAGTCTAGTGACACAACACCTCCCAAATGACCTGTTGGGATTTTGGCTCAGTAAGTCTGGCGATGGTCGCGGTGAGGGCGCAGTTTTCCGGCGCATGGGAAATTTGCAGTGGCCTGGTGGGGGTGATCCCATACAGCAGCGCCAGACAGCAGGCCGTGGGGGCTGGGGGCTGACTCAATATGTTGTATGCGGAGCACATTGACCAACAGGTGATGTAATGGTGGTCAATACAGAGTCAACGTGGAACAGCCTGTGAGAGTGGATGGTCTCGAATCATGAACTTAAAATCTCAGATCTACCATCTCAGGGTCAGATTATCTGTGCTCCCGCCTGCCATTTTGAGGGCCACTACTTGGGCATGAGACGCAAATTGGGCCTTGGTCCCTAGCAGCTCCTTCGTCCATGTGGTTGGGTTCTCAGCGTAAGGGGCATTTGTGCCCTCAATCACAGCACCGTCTGTGGTGAATAAAGCGTAATAGATTATGTTTGGGACGAGGCTTCCAGTATCACCGAGAATGTGAACACATTATCGGCTCGGGTAACATTACCAGTGATGGACCCAAATAGTGGTGGGGGAGGGTAGGCTCCCGGAGGAGGTGGTGAAGGATTCAGCAGCGTCAGCGGCACCACCTCACTGAGGGTCTCCTCATCTGTGTATATGGATGCGGGGCCAACAAAATAAGACATCAGAACGATCAGAGACTGCGACTCTGCCAGGATGGTAATGACGGATGATTTGGGGCTGTCGTCCTCCATGCTGTCGAGCTTGCCCAGCATCTGTGGATACAGATCGCACATGACAAGGTAAGGGATGTAACCACCGGTGGTAACGACGCACGCAACGTCAACCCCCCCATGTGCAGGACCGCCGAACTTGAGTGTGGCGGTCGCACGGGGTGTTAGAGGTGGAGGGGAGGGGGGGGAGGGGCAGTCGTGAAGGTGGTTGAGGTGGAGGAGGAGAGGGGCTAGGTGGAGGAGAGGGGCTGGGTTAAGGAGAAGGGCTAGGTGGAGGAGAGGGGCTGGGTCGAGGTGGAGGGCTGGGTTGAGGAGGGGGGCTGGTTGGAGAAGGGAAGATGAGTGGTGGAGACGAACTTGTGGGAGGAGGGGACCGGAATGGAGGAGGGGCCCTTGTGGAAAAGGTGGTGGGGGCTTCCTGGAGGGCGGGGGAGGGGACAGCTTGGGGGAGGGTTGGGGGAGCTTCTTCGAGGAAGGTGGGGGAGAAAACCTTGCAGGAAAAGGGGAGCCTCTTTGCGGGTGGTGGGGCTGAAGCTTTGGCAGGTGGTGGGGGTGACTTCTTGACAGGTGGAGATGGTGAATTCTTGGCGGGTGAGGGGGGTAGTGCCTTCTCGGAGGGAGGCGGCGGTAAGTCAAGGACCCATGCATACATAAAGGAGCCCGAGCAGGCTCCAGTCGTTGATGATGTGACGATCCCCAATTTGTTGAAGCAGCGATTGCTCGTGCCCTTCTTATTGTTTCCCCTGTTGGCTGTGCCCTCATTGGAAATACCTGGAAGAGGCAGGGCCATTCAAGCTCTGAGCCAGCCACACCCAGGGCTGCAGCCGCTGTGTATGTATTGCATGCCATCTGCACCTTGCCAATTTCTCACCGACATCAATATTCCCGACGTTGTTTGTGCCAAACTTATTATTGCCGTTGTTGCCGGAGCCCAAATTGCCATTGCCATCTGCTGTGCACGCCTTCTGGCCCGGCTTCAGACACTCCATGGTGGTCAGGACCTCCGTGGAGCGATCCGACAGGATCTCAAAGTTGCACACGCGAATAGCTGACATGGACAGCCCCATGATGTGGAGGGTCGAGGTGCGAACGGCCCCTGCCTTGCTGAGGCCCTCATGCCAGCTTGCAGTGGGTGGCGGGCGCATGTTTGTCAGGGTGCCAAGGTCTGGCACACGTGGCATGCAACGTGTGCCTACTGGTGGCTTCCTGGTCCAGCCCTATGTATGCCAGGACAGGCTGCTATACACGACACCTCACAGGCTCCCCACCTGCAAGCGGCATCTGCGCCGTCGACGGTCATGAAGTACGCATGGGCTCCTCGACTGCAGAGAGTCAAGACATATGCAGCTTGGCTAAAAAGCAAAGGCGTGCCCATCTCATCAGAAACCCAACACGTAAGGAGCTTGTGTCAGCAAGACCGAGGGGGAAGATTTGCTCATCTCCTCAAGGAGGCCAGTGAGGACAATCGCCAGTCAAAGCCATGCGCGGGGGGGACATTGTACATACAGGGAGATAATCAGAATTGCACGTGGCCCCCTTCCCCCCACCCCCTCCTCCACTCGACTCACAAAGCACTAGGTACCGCAATGAATGTCGAGCAGCAGGTGGCCTGCTTTGAAAGAGGAAAGTTGATGAGGAAACTGGTACAGGGGCAATCATTGTAGGGGCTGGATCAGATTCGTCATCGATTTGAGTGCAGCCAGGCTCACCGCGAAGGCACATCTGGCGGACAGCAGCACCAGTCCACTCAAAATAGCAGAGTTCCTGGCCGGCGGACCATCCTAAACCCTACGGCAATGTGCAGTCTGCCGCCTGCTTGGTGCGCCTGCGGCCTGAGAGAGATGCAACGCCTAGGATAGACTGCACTTTAACATCTGTGTGCCGTTCTTGAATCTTGTGAACATTTGAGAGGAATTTTGGCCACATGCACCGGTTCCTGACTTTATCGGTTTCGCGGTATAGAGCATGAGTGCTTCGAACGTTTCTATGGAGGGCCTCCGGACGGATCCTTCCCAGCAAAAAACCACAAGCTTGCATACCACCAACGGAGGTTCCAACCCAATGCAGCCAGCCCGTGCAAGACAAGAGTCAACCGATTTAGCTCCCGGCGCCTCATCTGTGCCGTCAGTACCTCCGAATCCACGCGGAGGACATCCGGTGAGAACGACTTCACTAACGGCGCGAGACTCTCCGGTTCCGGCGCGCTTCAAACAGGTTCACTGCATGTGACGGACCCATCACAACTTGTCGAGCACAAGAGGTATCGATTACGGATGCCTGGAACTTTCCAGTCAACATGTGGATCCCAGGGCGATGTTCCCACGGCCAGGAGGGTCAGGCCTGGGCAGGTGCCGCCTGAGCCCCAACCCCTGACAACATGCGGCCTCCAGCCACATGCGCCGCAAATTATGACAGGGGCCCTGTTCCCTCCATGGATGGACAACCCCGAATTATCCATAGCTCAGGTGTGCGAATGGCTGCGACTCCTTCTGGGTACCAGTGCCCAGGATGTGCACAGAGCATGAACATGCCATAACTTGGACATCACTGCATGCCATGCGTCCTGCTGCCAATGACGGCAAATGTGGGGTACAAGGGCATCAGGAAACAGCTTGGACCCAACCTGAGGGCCAGCATTGGGCTCATGCCCTGACCCTGCAGCAAGGGTTACTAGACGTCGGGTCCAAGGAGATGGCTGTCATCCACATCCTCCACACGCAAAAGGTGTAGTCTTGCTGCTCCTGACAGGCACCCCTCCTGTCCTTGGGGCTGACTGCGGCGCGTGTAGGGCCAAGACCGCAGCAGACCGTGCGATTCGTTGCCTGATCCTCGAAGATGGATAGATTCTATGATGCGGCAAAGCAGGGCTGTTTGCTTTTTAGGAATACAATGCTCTCCGGGGACACCTTCTCCGGATGGTGATGTTAGCCCAAAATGTCATGCACAAAACCCAAGCTGTAGCATTCTAGGCAAATCAGCCCCATCTTCCATAGAATCTGGACATGGCATGTGTGGGGGCACTCATTGCCAGAGGGCATACGGCCACCGCGCCAATGGAGTCCTAGGAGCGTGCTCATAACCCAGGCAAACATGGGTCTGAAGACAAAGGTGAAGCAAACCGGTGCAAGGGATAGACATGCCATGCCAGCACGGCCTGAAGGTCTGGCACACCACATGCCCAGCCCTTGCCGACCACCATCTGCAATGCTGCCTGGGGTGGAGAATGGGCGCCTTTGATAAAGGCCTTGGGCGCATGTGGGCGGCTGTGCAGGAGGTCAGTGAAGCTGCAGCAAACACAGGTGAGCTCCATGATTTGAATGTCAACACACTTGCAAGTGTCTGCCCTCTGTGTTGTCATCCAGGGGCGCCCATCATCCCACCAATTCGACGCCGGACAGCTGATGTAACCAAACAACTGTGCACCGATAAGGAGACTTTGCAGTATCCACAGCCAGCCATGGCAGGAGGGCAGGGCAAGCAGTCAGGATCAGAAATACACCAGCTACCAAATATCGCTATAGACCTGGCTTTAACAATCATGTAAATCCTAAGGGCCAAATAGCCCCCCCGCCCTGCTTCTCCTAGGCAAAAACGTCACAATACCACCGTCAGCTAGCATCCCAGGCAACCTGGTCCTGTCACCAGGGGGTGTCCTTGCGCTTCCTGAGGCCCTCCTGCGGCTGGCTACCAGGGTCTCCCTCATTGCAGTGAAGGGAGTGCAGGAGGAGCGCAACCCACTGCACAAGAACCTGGTAGTAGTTGTGTTGCCTGAGGTGCCCGCTTGGTCAGCTGAGACTATCCCCTGGAAGCGGCATGTCAAGGGCAGTGCACACCGCATCCCGTCCCATCTTGAGAAGGAGACAGGCACGACGTGACAAAGTGTAACAGCAATGAGGAGAAGGCCAGGGAGAGCTTGGCCCCGATGTGGAATTGGCTAAGACTTTACCAGTAACTAGACAGGTTGCATGTGTGCGGGGCATTGAGGCCCAGGGGAGGGCGATGGTCGTGGGTCCCCTTGACCAAAGAGCACGACGGGACCACGGGGCATGATGGATGTGTGCCCACCACATTCTATCGCCCTTGCACTCGATGTTCCTCCGTTTCTATGATACCCAAACATGACAATCTGCCGAGTGCGGTGTGTGCGCGTCCTCGGTGGGGCACAACACTGCTACGCGGTGTTGCCCACACGGGTTGTACCGTCTTGGCCATCCTTGGAGCCCCATAAAGTTAGAAATGACCAATATTCGCAAGGCACAATCATGGATTGGGTTGGAAGGCGGATATTTGGCGACTTGTCCCGGGATGGCCGAGCTCCGATGCGCAGAGTCCCTTTCTTTCCCGTGCGGGGGGTAGTGGGACCCAACAACCAGATACCTCCAGCCCCACTCGCGGTGCAACGCGCTCTCACAAGTATACGACTTGGAACCAAGAACCCATTCCGACCGAACACCAGGTGTTCGCGGAGGGTGGCCCCACACTCAGCTCGTTCAGCACCGGCGCGCGGATGTACGCCAACCAGGGCCTCCACAAGCGCCACAGAAACGCGCTTCTCAATCTGGTAGCCCTACTTAGGCTCTAATATATTGGTTTTGGTCGGCTTAAACTCCGGCTCCCACGCCAGCCCGACCCCAAACACGCGGAAGATCGCTCAGCCCGCGCCTTGGACCTCCCGGGCATGGTACAATCCACGGAGAACCCTTCCCCTGTGCCCAACCCACCAACGGTGAGGGCATGGAGGTGTTTCTGCGTGCATGCCGCATGACCCGGGCGCCGAAGGCCCGACTTATCGACACGTGACATGTACACCGGTTGTGGTCACCGCCTGCCCCCTCCGACCCATCCCCAGGCACCCGGCGCAGGAGGGCCCCGCCCCCAGGCCCACATGGTCATGCCCTCCCCCCAGCCCGGGTTCGCCTTTCCAGCCGCTGCCAGCGGGGCGGCCCCCTCGCCAGGCCCGGGGGCAACAGGCCCGGGCGCGACGCCCCCGCTCCCACCCGGCCCCGGCTTCCACCTGAGTGCCCAGCCCGCCGTCTCCCCGCGCCCAGGCAGGGGGTTTGCCGTGCCCGCCCAAGTTCCCCACCCCGGCGCGTCCCCCGCGCCGGGATCGGCGCCCTCGGCGCCCGCGGCGCCGGCCGTCCCGCAGCCCGGCACCCCCGCCGCCTCCGCCGCCGCGGCGGCCGCGCTGGCCGCCGCGGGCCCCCGCGGCCCCCCTTTCTTCCACTTCCGCCCCGGCTTCCAGTTCCCCCCCGGCTTCCAGTTCCCGCCGGGCTTCCAGCTGCCGCCCGGCTTTGCGCTGCGCCCCGCCATGCCCGGCCCCCCCGGGTCACGGCCTCCCGGGGTCGCGGCGTTCGGCACCCCCCAGCAGCAGGCCACGGCCGCGGCGCTGATGATGCACCAGCAGCAGATCTTGGCTGCCGCGGCAGCGCACCACCAGCAGGCCCAAGCCAACGCCGCCGCGGCGGCTGCCGCAGCTGCCGCGGCCGGCGGCGCGGCCGGGGGCGCGGCCGCGCCCCAGGGCGGCGCTGCGCCGCACCGCGCGCTCCCCCTGACCCAGCTAGCCGCGCAGCAGAAGGCCATGGTCGCCAGCGCGGCGGCGGCCGTGGCTGCGGCGCAGGCCGCCTCCAGCGCGGCGGCCGCCGCGGCCGCCGCCTCGCCCGCCTCCGGCCCCGGCCGGGGTCCCGGCGCCGTGGCGCCCGGCACCCCGCCAGGCCTCATCCCCGCGACGTCGCCAGGGTCGCTGGGCTCCAGCCCCTCCCTCCTCCCCGCCCCGGCCAGCGTGTCCCCCGCCGGCAGCGGCGAGCTGCGCGTGCAGGGCGCGCTGTCCGCCGAGCTACGGGCCAGCCCCCGGCACGGCGACGGCGAGGTGGCCTCGGGCCTGCTGCCGCCCGACGCGACGGCGGCGGCGGCGCCGGAGCCCATGGTGCCGTCGGGAGTGCCGCCGCCGGTGGTCGTGTCCAAGGGTCGGAACAAAACGTACCGCGGCGTGCGGCAGCGCCCCTGGGGCAAGTGGGCGGCCGAGATCCGGGACCCCACCGTGGGCGCGCGGCGCTGGCTGGGCACATTCGACACCGCGGAGGAGGCGGCGCGCGCCTACGATGCGGCCGCGCGCGCCATCCGCGGCGCGCACGCCAAGTGCAACTTCCCGCTGCCGGAGGAGGAGGAGGCCGCCGCGGCCGCGGCTGCAGGCGGGGCCGGTGGAGCGTCCGGCGCCGGCGGCCTGGCCGCCGTGCACCGCCACGCCAGCACGACGAGCCTGGAGCTGGACGCAGGGCCCGACGCCACCTCCTGCTCGCTGACGGGGCAGCTGGACGGAGCGGGGCGCGGCGACGGCGGCCCCGGCGACGGTGGCCGCCTGTCGGCGCACGGCGCCGAGGAGGAGGAGGACATGGACGACGACCTGGACGACGACTACCCCGAGGTGGAGGGCCTGGCCTCCTTCTCGGTCACGCTGGAGGGCTTCGGCGGCGCCGAGGCGCGAGGCGGCTGTGCAGCCGGCCACGGCGCGCCCACAGCCTCCTCGCTGGATGAGGCCGCCCTCATCAGCAACCCACTGCTGGCGGCGCTGCCCACACAGGCCATGCGCCTGTCGGACGCCATGAGCATTCCCACCGGCCTGCCCCCCATCTCCTCCGTGGCCATGTCCAGCTGGCGACAGGTGAGTGAATGCTTGTTCAGGGGTGTGGTGGGGCCCCAGGGGGGGTCCCCGTGGTGGTGCCAGGCTTGTATGGATCTAAAGAGGCCAGAGCAGGGGGTGGGGAGGATGTCGCCCCCATCCTCATGCATGTGCCTGCACGGGCATCTGCTGTGCCCCTGCGTGCCTCCCCTGCCCTCCCCCGGCCTGAAGTCCACGATCCCACCCCCTACCCCTTCATCTCGGCCCTTGCGCAGAAGCGCAAGAGCACGGGACTGACGCCGCGCGCTGCGCCCTGGGCCGGCCCCGAGTGGGTCCAGGCCCAGGCGCACGCCGGCTACAGCCTGGGCGCCAGCCCCTTTGGCACGTCGGTGGACATGATGAGCGTGGGCGGCGGCGGCGACCCCCACCTCTACTGGCACATGCACAACGAAGGCGGTGGGGGGCAGGACACGCTGTCCGACATGGGCAGCCTGAGGCAGAGCCTGGTGTTGCCCCAGCAGTATGCGCTCGGCCCAGGTGGGGGTTTGTTCCAAAGGGGGTGGGGGATGGGGGGTGTTTGCAGATGACAGAGGGGGGCAGGCATCTGTTCTTTCCCTTTTTGTGCCTGTGTCGCAGACCGGGCTGCCGCCTGGTCTTTGAGATGAGAAAGCTAGTGTGGGTGTGTTGGGCGCAGGGGCAAGCTTCCTCCCCCACCACCCCATTGCCGGTTTCGTAGACCGCTGCACCTCCATTCCCCTCGGCGCCCTACGCACCACTCCTTTCCTCCGTCAGGCGCCGCCTCATGCTGTTCATGCGCCCCTCCCCCCCCCCCCCAAAAAAAAACCCAACCACAGACGATGACCTGGACGATGACGTGATGCTGATGGGGAGCACGCCCGTGTGGGGCTCCACGCCGCGACCCCGGCACCTGCCCGCCGACCCTAACCGCAGCCTCAGGGCCACGGCGGCCGCCAACGCATCACGCGCTGCGGGCCCCAGCGCCCCGCGGGCCGCCCCGGAGCCGGACAGCGACGAGGAGGATGACGGCATGCTCATGGGCATGTCCCCGGACGTCGGGGCCGGGCCGGGCGGCCTGGCCGGGTTCATGCGCCAGGTGGGAACTTGGACTGGGAGAGTTTGGGAAGGGGGTGGGCGGCAAAATTTGCGTGCAAGCGGGTCACTGGGAGGCAATATATGCCCTGCGGACGCAGAGCCTAGTCCACCTGCGTCTGGCAGAGCCCGGCAGAACACCACACCGCCGCTTCGTCTCACATTCTGCACATCCCACCCGGGCCAACCCCCCCTCCCATACATTCCTCAGGGCGTCGTGGCTGCACCCCATTCCTCCCATGTGGATGGGCCCATGCAATGAGGAATACATGTACGACTTCTGCCTTTTTCTTACCCTCGTACCGAACCCTCGTGCCCCAATCTGGGTCCTGGAAATAACACACCAAATTTAATGCAGCAATGGAGGCTTGGGTCGTGGCAGGACGGCACAATGCGTCGCGGAAGGGGAGGGGGGGTGGTGGGAGCTTCACCACATTGGCAGGGCCCCTGTTTTGCCTGCACACGTCGCTCCTCGGGTCGGGGCAGGGGGCGGAAGCCTAGCACGTAATACACGAGCGGTAACAAACTACTCGAAACAGCCTGGGCCATGCGGCACGAGGCGGCACATGGCGGCGCCTCCGCTCCCAGGCGAGGGCCTCGGCGGGGCCGCGCCGGGCGGCGCTCGTCGGCCGTCACGCCGGGGGAGGGCGGGCCAAAGGGAAAGAAATAATCACCAGGAGGAGACAGGGGCAGACAGGCTCCGACGGTGGCCGATGGTATGCAAGGGGCCATGGACGGGGGCAAAAGCTTGGGGGCCTCGAGGGGGGGTGGCCCAGGGAATGATGTTCATGGGGTAGGCAAGGCTGTGCAGAGTCTGATATCAATCAGAGGGGTAGGGTGCTGCGCACGGAATGGGGCTCATAGCGTGTCGTTCCTGCACATGTCGAAAAAGCAGGGGGTTCTTGGAAGGTATATTCAAGCTTAACTTCGCAAAAGGGGTGGCCGCGCCGGTGCGCAACTTCCTTTGATTTCTTGTCTTTGGGCTGGGGGTTGGAGGAGGGGATCCGGGGCGCGGGCGAGGGGCCTGCCCGCCCGCCCGCCTCGCCGCGACCCGAGCGTCGGGGACCACTTCTTGGATGTCCTCCCCGGCCACCTCCAGGGTGGTAGTGGCCGGCTTCACGCCCGGAACATCCAGTCCCAGAGGAAGCAGGAGGGCGTGGCGGCGCGGCGCTCATACCGCTGCAGCAGGCGCTCCACCTCCCACCGCGTGTCGCCCCCGTCGCGGCCAGGGCCGTCGTCCAGGCCCGAGCCGCGGCGGGACAGGTCGTCGCCGGCCTTGACCCCGGCGACCACGGCCTCGCCCTCGCGCGCGTCCTCGTCGCTGACCCAGGCGTCGCCCACCACCTTGGCGGGCTTGGCGTAGGCGGGGCTGTCCAGCGGGGCCTCGGCGGGGCCGTCTGGGAGGGGTCCCACTAGGCTCTCCTCCAGCGCCGGCCGGGCCGGGCTGCCCGAGGGGGTGTCGACGGGGGTGTTTGAATCGTCGGCGGGCGCGTCGGCGCGCGGATCGGCTGGCGCCGCCTGCGCCGCCGCGCGCCGGCGCAGACCGGTCGCCGCGCCCGCGGCGACCTCGCTCGGCGGCGCGGAGTGCGCGGCCTCGGGCCTCGAGGTCGGGGCGCTGCCCGCCCATGTGACCCCGTGCTTCTCAGCCCAGCCCAGCAGCTCCTGCGGCGGGCGTGATGGCTGGCATGAGCGCGCGCGTGTTTGTGTGTGTGTGGAGCGAGAGGGCAGCGTGCTGCGACCATGCGACGCCTGGCCGTCGGCCAGGCGTCGAGCGCCCCTTCTTCTCTCTTTGACCCCCCCCCCCCCTTCCCCCCCTTCCCCCACGATTCTCCTCCGACCTGCACGACGGCGTCGGCCCCTGCGCGACGCGCGACGTCCAGGATCCCGCGCTCGCCCGGCACCAGCGCGTCCAGGCGGCGGGCCAGGGCGCCGGCGCCCGGCGCGCCGCGCGCCAGGCCCTCCAGCAGCGCCGCGCAGACGCCCGCCCAGTCGTGGAGCGCGGCGAAGAGGAAGCAGCGCGCGGAGGCGGCCCAGTCCGGGGTCGTGCGGGGCGCGCCCTCGCCCAGCGCCGCGCCGAGGGCCTCCAGCAGCGCCTCGACGCCGGGGATGCCCAGGCGCGCCAGCGCGGCGCGCGCCCCGGGCGCCGCCGCGGCCAGGCCCTGGACCTCGGCCACGGCGCGCGCGTCGCGCAGGACCAGCACGCGCCGCGCCTCGGAGGTGAACACGCCGCGCTGGATCTCCAGCGTCAGGCAGCCCTGGCGCGCGGCGGGGACAGCGACCAGGAGCTCGTCCTCGGCCTTCTGCCGCCGGCGGTCGCTGGGGGCGGTGGGCCGGCGCGCCGTGGAGCCGGTGGTCATGCCGTCCGCGACAGCGTGCGCGTCGGTGGCCGCGACGCCGTCCGCGACGCCGTCCGCGACGCCGTGCGTGACGCCGTCCGCGACGCCGTGCGTGACGCCGTCCGCGACGCCGTGCGTGACGCCGTCCGCGACGCCGTGCGTGACGCCGTCCGCGACGCCGTGCGTGACGCCGTCCGCGACGCCGTGCGTGACGCCGTCCGCGACGCCGTGCGTGACGCCGTCCGCGACGCCGTGCGTGACGCCGTCCGCGACGCCGTGCGTGACGCCGTCCGCGACGCCGTGCGTGACGCCGTGCGTGACGCCGCCGCCACCGCTCATGCCCCCCGCCCCGCGCCGGCTGGACACGGTCTCTGCGTCCAGGAAGCCCACGCGCGGCTGGCGTGCGAGGACGGTGCGCGCGTTGCCGGCGATGCCGCGGCCGGTCAGGCGCAGCAGCGGCGCGCGGGGGCCGTCGTCGTGGTCGCCGCTGCCGGCCCCCCCTGCCCCGCCCCCGGCCGCCGCGCGGATGGCCGGGGGGCTCACGGCGTCGACGCGGGGGACCACGCCTGCCGCGTCCGACAGGCGCAGGCAGGCCACCACTGCGCCGCGCTGCGCCAGGACCAGGCAGCCGCCCAGCTGCGCGGCGACGAAGGGCAGGCGCGCCCAGGCCTCGCCCAGCGCGGCGCGCAGCGCGGCCGCGACCCAGTCGGCGGCGCCGGGGCCGGCCAGCGCGGCGTCGGCCGCCGCGTCCAGGCGCGCCGACAGCACGAGGTGGGTGCAGCCGGGGCGGATGGCGCCCTCGAGGTCGCCCGGGGGGCAGCGCAGCAGGTCCACCAGCGACTCCTGCAGTGAGGCCGGCAGCGACCCGGGCTCCACGCCGTACAGCTTCAGGCTGATGCGCGCCATGCGCGGGAAGGGCGCCAGCGCGTGCAGCGGCACCGCCGCCTCCGCCGCCCAGGCGTCCTGGGTCGCCGGCGGCGGCGGGGGGGCCGTCGCGAAGGGGCCGCCGCCGTCCGGCAGGCCGCACAGCGAGAAGGCCACGCCGCCGTCCGGCGGGCCGCCTGTCGCGAACGCTGCGGCGGCGCCCATGTACGAGGCGGGCGTGCCGGCGGCGGCGGTGCGGGGGCCGCCAGGCGCGGGCGAGGCATCGGGGCCGCGCACGGCGGTGCCGGCACTGGCCTCGCTGCCGTCCCATGCGCCGCTGGCGGCGGTGGCGGCGGTGGAGGACGGCCATGCGCAGGCGGACATTCGGGCCCCCGCCCCCACGTCCACGCCCAGGCCCGTCTCGGCAGCCAGCCCGCCAAACAGGTCGTCCAGGATGCCGTCCAAGTCCTCGGTGGACAGGCCCAGGGTGGAGGAGGGGGGATCGCTCATCAGCGGGCAGGACAGCGCGGGGATGGGGTCCAGGAAGGACAGGAGCCCATCGTCCATGGGCTGGGCGGAGTCCTGCGTTTCGAGTGGTGGGGAGGGGGGCAGAGGGCAGGCTCAGGGGGGCAGGGTGAGTGAAAGCTGGGTGTCTGGTGGTCCGCAGGCAACCTGTGCCGGGTACCAGCCACGCTCCTCAGGGTCACGAGCGGTCTCTAGCACAGGGTCCTCCCTCTCCCCCCTCTCCCAGAAGTCCCTTCCCATTTCCTCACCCAGGAGTCCATGTACAGCTTGGCGAGCGGCGTGGTGCCGGCGCTATCCCCCTTGGAGGAGCTGTTGTGGGAGAGCATGCCGCTGTCCGTCATGCCGTCCGTCCCCGCCGTATCCAGCGTGAGGTAGGCGCTGTCCTCCGGCGTGCTGTTGCTGTGCACGGAGACCGAGGCGGGCGGGGGGCCGGCCGCCGCGGCCGCCGCGCGCCTTGCGGCGCGCTCGGCGGGGGCCTTGGCGCGGCGCACCGGCTTCTTTCTTCGCCGCGCATTGTGCATCTCCAGCTGCGTACGGGTGGAAGAGGGGGTGGCAGTCGAGAGACGAACGGGAGCCGGGCCGGCGGGGGGTGACGCGCAGGCCACTGAGCCAGATTGGAAATAGAGGCCCGGCGCCATGCGGCCGATGCACTCCCGTGCGGCATCCAGCGGGCCAGATCCTGCCGCCTCTACCAAACTGCACACAGCCCCAGCAGCTGCACAGCGGTTGATCGACACGCACACAGGTGGCTGCATGGGGTCAACGTTGCTACACACTCACCCTGTGGCGGCACGTCCGCTTCTCATCGTCAAAGTCGGCCAGGGGCTGGAACTTGCCACACTGCATGACCGGCGGGGTTGAGGGCCAGCGTGAGGTTCAGTGTGGCTTGATGTCGAGTCACGGCGAGCGGCGTTACCGGTAGCGTGAGACATTCAGTGGCTGGCCTGGGCCTTCATCGGCAGCAGGCACCGCCCAGCCAGCACCTCACCTGCTGACAGAACCTGCTGGCGACCCCTCCGATGGTGATGCTGGCGACGGCAGCGTGGTACGGACATATCATGTACCTCTGCGGGGCAGGTGTGCACATGCGGGACGAGGTGGGAGGGCTGTACAGCTGGGGGGGTGCGTGAGCCCCCATTCCCTCGTACACCCTCCGGATCCCACGGAAGACCCGCCAGGGGCCTTGCCTGATAGTAAAACTTCTGCAACGATAGGCTGGTATTGCATCCCGCCACTCGGCACTGGTTCCGCGAGCGAGTGCCCAACTCCTGTCCGCGCTCCGTCTCTGCTTCATGCACGCGGCTGGAGGCCTTGGACGAGGCGCGCAGCGCTCCAGAGTCCCATTCGAAATCTTGGGTGGACCAGGGGACATGCAACTCCGTCCGTAGCCTGCGCTCCAGTTCATTCGTACTGCGGAGATGGACAGCCTTACCAACGTCGCACATCGTAACTTCCGCCATGTTACGACATACCGTTGCCACTGAAAGGTTTACGACAATGGGGGCCGATGATGGGTACGGAAACCGGTCACAACGTGGCACCTTGGCTCGGGGTGCCTCGGTGGTACCCCCTTGCATGTGTCGAAGGTACCTTGGTAGCTGCTTAGAAGGTGACATATTCTGCCCTCTCAGGCGCCTGACAACAAACACGGTCAAGGCAAATGAGCGCAGCCAAATCTCCAGCGCGAGCCTCCGGGACCCAGGTAGACGTTTCTCCACCCGACAACGCAGAATGCCGTTCACAGCCCGGGATATCGGCCTCATCATTGGTGAGCACGGGGGCGCTGAACTACGCTGTCATCGCTTTGTTCTGAAGGATCGTTTCTCAACATTGTGTTTCTGCTGGTGAAGCGCGTCTGCATTCACAAATGGCCCGACGTGATCGTTCGAGTACTCGGTCAAGCTGCTCCCCCACACACGCCACCCTTCCTTCGCAGTGGCGATCTTCTTGCCACCTCTTGCTGTAAGTTGGGCCCTGCCTGGACTAGGAAACATTACAGCATGCGACGTGTTGAGACATTGATCGTTCGTGCTTGGTCCGTCTGTCCTTGATGCGTCGGCATAATCCACCCGGTGACCCGCCCCCCAACAGGTCTTCATCCAAAAGGATGCGTGCGACAAGGATGTCCTTTTGAACCTGCTGCTCACGCTCCTGGGCTGGATTCCAGGTATATTGTTGCTCAGGGGTGCAGCGTGGGGAGGATGGCCATTTTGTTGCAGGGTTCAGCAGCTTCCTGGGCACCTTCCATTTATTGTGAACCTGATCACAGTCCTCTGGGAAGCCCACCCCCCAATGCCTATTTTCTTCCCAATTCCATCCACAGGCGCGATCCATGCGCTCTACATCATTCTCAAATACTGAAGGCCCTTCGAGCGACATGTGGATACCCTCACCTGCCATTCCTGGTTTTACTACCACCCCCCATCGCTTAATATTCGATCCCAGTTGTGTAACGCGGCAGCAGGAGCAGATGACAGCACCCTCCACAGCCGTTGAGGGTTGCCAAACACAAGGTGGAATGAAAGGACTACAAACCATGAAAACCCAGGGCAAGAAGAGGTTGAGCGCACTGGCGCTTGGAGATACAAATTGATCTGGTGGCTGGGAGGGCGGCCTGTAGAGACCCCTCTGGAGGGTATGCCACTCGCCACTGGCAATGCACTAGGGCATCAGAGGTAGCGCGTCCAGCGGAGGTCCAGCTTGGCAGTGCCCGAGCCTTCTTGGAGGTGGAACTCGCCCTTGGTCTTCATGCGCTTGATGACCGTGGCCAGGGGAAACTCCAGCTTGCCGACGGTGGAAGTCCCTACCCAGCCCTTCTCTTGGATGATGATCTCCACTGTAATGACGGGAAGGCAGATGCCTCGTGCTACTGAGGCAGATGCAATTTGGCGTGGAGTGCTTGCCCCTCACTCACACACCGCTCGCATGCACTGGAGCACCCTCCCAGCCACCTCACCCATGGTGCTCTCGTCCTCCACTGCATCCAGTCCCACGTGCACCGACAGGGGCGCGGGGAAGGCTGCCTGCCCCCTTCGGTTGGCCAGCGTGAGCGGTGAGGACTTCTCAGACTCCTTGACCCGCATTCTCGCCTTTCTGTGGAGGCAGAATGCAGAATCTCACGAGTTGAGGTTTAGCACGATGGCTGCGGCTCCTGCCCTCCAGCACCATATCTAATGGCTTGCTGGATCCCTCCATGGACCACCCCTGGGCCACTCACACATGGGGCGTGCGCAGCTTGGAGACGAGGGTCTTGCTGTGGACATTGTGCAGGGTCAGCTGCACGACCCCGGTGCGGATGAGCTCCCGAACCGCCGGCGAGATGCCCTGCTGAACCGAGCGCTGCCGGAGCGCATGCTCTGCGCCGTGGCGCATGGCGTTCTCCACCAGCTCCACCTCCTTGCGGCTCAGAGGGGTGTAGGTGACCTGCGGTGGGAGGACAGGGCCATCGTCAGGGCACAGCCCGTGCAGGTCGATCCCAGGCATACGAACCTATGTTTTCATGCCTACAACACCCTTGGTTGTGGCGTGGCGGCTTCAATAGCCCTCCAGGATGCAAGTCACCAACGCACTCTCGACTATGTACCAACAACCTTGCCCCACCTCGACGTTCAGGTGGCACATGGTGCCGCCCTTTTTGATGAAGGGTCGGCCCAGGGCCATGGCAAAGTGCTGCATCCTGGTCGCCTTGGCCTTCTCCTCTTCGTGCACCTCCTCCACTGCGACAGGGTTTTTTGGCGTGGGTGGGTGGGTGTGGGGGCATGCTCAGACGATACATTTCGGCTGGTGGTACCTGCGCCATAGTCTGCGCTTGACTAGGTCAAGGAAACATCTTCAGAACCCTCAAGGCCTTAGCCGCTCCTCGACCCAAATCACCTCTGGCCTTGAAGTCCAGGGTCTTGCTCGTCTGCTTGCCATGCTCCAGCTCCTTGATGGGCAGCAGGGCCCTGCGCGCATGGGATTGAAGCTGAGGTGCTCAGTCTGGGGAGGCAGCCACGAGGAGCACAGGCACGAAGGCGACGCCCCACCCCCGCCCGACACCCACCTTCCAATCTCATCAGGGGGTGACCACTCATCCTCGTCCCACATGATCATCCTCTGCGATGTACTTGGAGGCAGGTGGGAGCCTGAAGACCGCCCCATTGTTAGATTCCTGATGCATCCTTAGGTGCAAGCAGGGAAGCAGAAGAATCGCGGGTGAGAGGCTTGCTGCAGGCAGCTGCGCATCAGCACATGCCCTGTCCCATCCCAAGTTCACAGCTTGAAACCGCCCCGCCCACTCACCAGCTCCTGGTACTGCGGTGCGGCAATGGCAAAGACAAAGGACTCGTTCCATGTGGGCTCGCGGGTCTTCTTCCTCACGTCTGTCAGCCTGCGCTGGCTGTCGCGGACATAGATTCTGTCCACGGTGGATATGGCAGGGGGGAGGGGCATCAGAGGGCTGATGATGTTGTGTGAGACACACTGAGGTTTGTCTCTGCCAGGCCTCCGCTGATTACCCCTGCTCACAGATGTTTTGTTTCCCGCAATCATAAGCTGGCCATGTGGGGTCTCGCCGGAAAGGAACCGCCGCCCTCCCCCTCCACTCACTCCAGGTATGGGTCGCAGCCGCCCAGGAGGTCCATGCGAGGCACCTGCGAACATAGACAGCCTTTGGTGAGGCAGGGCACGAAAGCGTATCCCAGGACTCTGCACCATCCGGAACCCCCATTCCTCCCAATCAACCCCCCTCTCTGTCGCACCCCCGTGGCGTTCAGGATCTTGACGTGCAGCACGCCCTCTGGCTTGTCCACGTCCTCTGCGTCGTCTGTGATGGGGATCCAGAGGTGCTCCGGCAGCACATACCTGGGCATGGGTGGATGGATGCGTTTTCAGGTCAGGGGGCTGGCCACGACAACAGACACACGGCGGTGGATGGGGGTCATCATCAGGCATGCCGTCACAAGATGACATCCACACTCACGGCTGGAGTACAGACTCCTTGACGACGCCGTCCACCCAGGACTTGATGAGGGGCTCCATCGTCTCCAGCACAAACCTGTCACTGGGGAAGAGGGGAGGAGGTCGGGCTTGGGGGGCCCAGGCAAAGACATGTGGGGAGTGGCATGGGGTTGGATGGACTCTCTTTCCTTTTGTGCAGCCATGCGCAGTGGTGGCGGCAGAGTAGTCACCCCCACCCTGCAGCCAAACTTCATGGAAGGTTACGTTCTGGTTTCCAAAGCCAGGCAAAAGCTTCCCGACACCAATGCCGGGCACCCAGCCCCTACCACCCACTCGCTTTGCCCCACCACTCCGCCCTCACACCGCAAATCATACCCGAGCTTCAGGTCATAGCCAAAGTCCGGGGGATTGATGAGGGAGATGCGCACGCCGCCCACCACCGGCATCTCCTCCAGCAGGGGACGCAGAGTCACCCTGGCGGTGCCCTTGAGCCAGAGGTCGGTGCACATGACCGTAAGGGACATGAGCAGGGCTAGGGTGTCCTCCAACGGATCCGGGACCACTTCAGAAACGAGCAGGGGGAGCTTGGGCACGGAGATGTACAGCTCCAAGGCCTGGGCGGGGGTGCAGAGATGGGAGGAGGGGGGTGGGACGGGGCGATGAAGGGGGTCCAACCGTGCTGCGCAGGGGGCCATGCGGTCTGGGACATGGGCAGCAGTGGGTGGAGTGGTTAGGCAGGGTGATATGTGGCCCATCGAGAAGCAGCCCACTGGTATCAAATATCACACCTGACCCTCAGATTTCCAGTCAAAGTCGAATTCGATGTTGACATCGCCAGTCATGCGTGTGTCTCCCGTGACTCTGTTAGGAAAGCGGGAATTGAGTGAAGCAGTGAGTGTCGCAGTTTGTCCCAAAACTCAGGTCAGCCATGGCCTTACATCTCAAGGCTCAAGCTTGCCGCGAGATTTCCCCTACTGCTGCCTGCCTGAGGTTGGTGAGCTTCGGCCGTGCCTTCCCCAGCTCGAATTTCTTGAGCTTGAGGTCATGCACAAAAGATGGGCGGCTAGCGGCCAGGATATCTGGGATCATGTCATTGGCCAAGGCCTCTATGGCATTCGAGGCGTAGGGCCACAGGTGGGCAATTAGATCCGCAAGCCACTTGTTGGGGTCCTGCTGGGCCTTGGATGGAGACGGGGCAATCTGTGACATGGCTTGACCCATGCTGAAGATTGCCAATCAGCACCCCGGAATCGCACTGTAATTCCAAGCATGCGCACACCGCGCGGCATGGTGCGGCACCTGAGTAGAGTCAGGTCCTGAGCTGCCGGCGTTGCCTGCCGTCGAGCTAGGGTTCCCATGCACATCGCCATTGGTCTTCGATGCTGCAGGGGGTTGGAAATTGTCGACCTTCTCCACGGTGACCGGTGGCCGACTCACTGACGACGCCATCCTATGCCAGGCGTGGTATTACTATGCCTTGGTATTTTGGAAAATGATGGATTTTCCAAGCGTCAATGCAGACATTCGCCTTGGGACTCCCTACCGACCTATGCGGAGAATGAACCCCCACATCGGCACAGCTTCCGGACGGGGGTCGCCGGCAGATGCACAACGTCCGAGTACCGTTCTTTTGCCACATTATCTCCGCCCTGGGACAAGTCGAGATTTCCACTTTTACAGACATCAGCTCCTCGAACATTGTTGAATACGCATTTTCAAGAGCTTTAGTTGCTGGTTTGCGGTGCGAGACCCCCTCATTCGGTCGACAGTTTTTTGAACTTTGTAGAGCTTTGCCATGTCCCGTCGGGGTGCGAACGCGCCCCGCGAGGCACATTGTTGTGTTAAAATATCATTGGAGTGGTAGAGTATCCAGTGCAACGGCGATGAAGCACTGCCTGCGCCTGATTGTCATGCCCGGGAACTACGCCCGTCGAGGCCTCAGGTGGTCAAGGGAGGAGGTGGGAGGGGAGAGCGGGCCCCTCCTCTCCCTTGCCCGTCCGGAGGCACTGCCGCCCCGCACACGCCCTCCCTGCCGGATTGCTAAGCTGGTCGCTTACAGACATGGATCTCATCCCAGGTGCAAGGTTAATTTGGCCCTCTTCTGCCTGCTGAAGCAGTCCGCCGTCTCTTGCCACCACCCCTCTCAAGATGGGAGCGGATGCGGCGTGCTTTGTCACGTGCGGGAGCTATCTTCGACAGCGAAGACCAGGGGGCGACACCCTGCCATTCAGCGGCAGTGACGTGGTGAGTTGCCCAGCATACTGCGGGGTGTTGTTTGGCGACGAGACAGCTGGTGGTCCCTGGTGTGATTCTAGCCAGGGGATGGGCGGTGTGTCATGTAGGCCGGGGTTATCGGGTATGCAGGACTCCTTCATAAGCTTCCCATCGCACAGATGCGCCGGTGCCTCAGCAGCAGACTTAAAACCTTCCCTTTCTCTATGATGCTGGAAATGTCCCGCCACTTCCTAGCCCCACTGGTGGGGTGAATAGTGCATATCAGTGATCCACAGATGGCTGGCGGCCATGGAAGCACTGATGCAGCTGGTCCCATCGCCGGCAGTTCCCTAGGAACTGCTGTGCAGTATGGGTTAAGACTCCGGTGGAGGGGAACAAAGTGGATTATGGCAGCACGTGGCCGCCCCCCAGGGCCCCACACGCCCTGCCGTGGCCTCAACAACAGCCCTGAGACAGCGCCATGTCATCGATGTGACAATCGATGCCCTCGCATGTGCTGGGCCAACTGGGTCTCTGGAAGCCATTCCCTGCGGGTCAGCATGGGTCGCATGCTAGATGTGCGCAACATGAAGCTCCAGTCACCGGGATCACTCGGCCTCGGCAGGAATGCATCGCGCCACCACATTCCCTGAAGTTTCTGCACTGCCAAAAAACTGCAACGATGGATTTTTCGCGCCCCTCCGCCTGAGCATGGCAAGTCATGCACGCACTGCTCGCCCCACCCATCCCGCCTCGCCGAGACCGACCTGCACAGGCTGCACTCTGCGATGTCGGCCGAGCCTCCTGATGCCGGGCTGTCGATGCCACGGCTTGCCGCCCGCGACTTGCCAGCCAGGAATCGGTCCAGCGTCACACCCTCCACCTTGGGCTTCTTCTTCTGGCCCCGACGGACTGCCATCGTCGCGTGCGGCCTGCGGCGCTGCCCGCAGGCCTCGCACCTGCCCGCAAGCCCTGGGTTCAGCAGCGTGCAGGCGCCGCAGGCCCACTCCCCCATGGCCGCAGGCTTGGCTTCCCGCCCATCAGGGGACCTGGATCCGTCCCTGCCGGGACAGGTGTCCTCTGCAGGAGGCCTGGGGCCCCGACGCCTGCCCCAGTCCTGCAGGGAGAGCTCCAGCAGCTCCCCCTCGCCCAGGGAGGATCCGGCGGCTTCCCCCTCATAGTCCCCAGCACCCGCGCTGCTCGGCCCGGCCTCGGCACCCGCGCTGCTCGGCCCGGCCTCGGCACCCGCTGCCGGCGACCTCCGGCCCGCCAGCATCTCAGCCAGGCTCAGCTGGCCTGGGTCCCTGACCTGTGGCAGGAACACAGATGGTTAGGAAGCAGGTGACTGGGCGCCGCCATGCGGCAGACAGCTCGTGGACTGCCTTCAACGCCTCCTCCCAGCACATGCGTCACCTCTCCCCCAAAGACCCCCTCCGCCATGCGTGGGGCCTCGCCTGCTCGAGGAAGCTGCTCATGCGCAGCCCCATGAGCCGGACCTCGATGGGAAGCTCGGCCTGCAGCAGCTTCAGTGCGGCTGCCAGGATGTCGCTGGCGGTGTGAATGTACTTGGGCAGCGTCATGGCGCGGGTCCGCAGCTGCGAGTCGTGGCCGGTCAGCAGCAAAAAGGGGTGAGGAGGCCGCAGAGCCGGTGCAGCAGGCGGCTCTGGCACCCTTCCCGGCTCCCGCTCACGCTGGCATGGATGGCAAGGTATGATGCTTCTACCAGCCAGCAAATCGTTCCCCGCCCACCCACCTCAAAGTTGGAGCACTTCAGCTTCAGGGTGAGGGTGCGCCCCTTCAAATCCTCGCTGGCCATGTCTGCGGCGAGGTGCTCCGCCAGCTCACCGAGCTTCGCTTCCAGATCCCGAGGTTCGCTCATGTTCCTGGCGGGGAGGGCAGGGCCACCTGGGGCTCTGGCACAATGGGCTTTGGCATGGCCCTTCCCATATGGCAGTGGAGAGGCGAGGCTGAAAGTCACTGCCGGCCACCCGAGACGTTTTGGCATCGTCAGGCATCCCTCCAACGCACAGCACTCACCTGAACGTCCTCTCGCAGCTCATGCCCTTCCTCCCCACACTGCCGTCGGGGCCCGGGTCCGAGTGTCGCGTGGAGCCCAGGCCCAGGGCTATGCGCATGAAGAAGTCGAGCGAGACGGGGCTGAACAGGGCCGCCAGGAGGGCTCTGGGGTGCGGAGAGGAATCAGCATGACCGTAAGGACGATGATAGACAGCATTGACATGCTGCCCTGTGCTGACACAGGGCACGAAGCCATGCCGACATGCGATCCTTGGCGCGACGTGTGCACCCCTCATAAGTGTCTACCTCCCACCCATAATAAGACCCCTCACCGATGCGTGTGCAGGTCTGCAGCAACATGGACCCCAAACGCACTGAGAATTCGCTCTGTGACCTGGTTGCAGGCAGATGGACATGGAACAGGCGTTGAGTGAGCAGCGTCGGCGCATGGGACACCGTGGATCTGAGAGGGTACTCCGACACTGTGACCAGGCTCCCTCCTGTTAATCCCTACGTGCAGGGTATCAGATTAAACCTACCCAGATGCAGAAGCTTACCTTGCCAACACCCGGAACCTTGCGAATTTCCAGCGCAGCAACAAACTGACGAACAGCCGCCAGAGTGGAGGGCAGCTCATACTGCAAGGGAGCGGAGGGGCATGGTAGGTAGTTGGGCTCTGGATTCCATTGCTTTATAAGGGGGCAGTAGGTGTGTCCTCTCATCTGGCAAAAGGCACTGTCGTAGTATTCACCCAGGGCGGTAGTGAGGTATGCCTCGTGACCGGTGCACCCACCCTCGCGGTATAGTATCACTGCTACCTGTCCGTTTGGCTTGTTGCGATCGGAGCAGACCTTGGCCAGCATGCGATTGGGAGCAATGCCGACGCTGTATGGATGGACCGTGAGTGAGTTGAACCACTGCATTCAATTTACGAGATGGGAAAGCGAGATGCAGCAGGCAATACTGTGAATTCCCCACTGGTCATTGCAGAACCTGCAGGGCCAGCAGAGACATCAGAGGAGGTGGCTTGGCAGATGGCTTGGCCAAGGTTCAACAAGCTAGCTGCAAAAGTGCGCCCCACACCATGGACAATCACCGGACCACCTGCACGTCAGTCCAGTTTCCTGCTGCACCCGCTGTCGAATGAGGGCAGCCACCTCAGGCCCTGGGCAGGTAGGGTGGACGCATACCTCAGCCACTTGCAGTCCACGGCAGAATCACCTGAGGGGCCATTGCTCAAGCATGCCGAATGGTGACGATGCCATGGCCAAGGCGTATGTCTGGTGGTATGAGGCAGCCTGGGGGCCAGTGGGCCAGCAGAAACTCAGCCCTCATCAGCACACCTGTCGTCCCATGGAGCCGTACGTACTCTGTGACGTCCAAGTAGGCCTCGTCCATGCTGCCGGCCTCAAACTCCGGGTCGTAGTCCCTGAACACCGCCCTGCAAGATAGGGTGGGAGCTTCGGGTAGCTAGAGACAGTAGCCCTTGCCCTGGTGCAGCTCCCTTCAGCGGCAGCTGTGCTGAGGCTGGGTCAAGGGGCGGGCACGAACCAGCACTCCATTGACCAGCTCCTCGGGCCTCTGTACGGGAGCTGCCATGGGCAACGCATTGCCCTCCTCCGGACAACACATGTTCCCCGCTGCACCTGGTTTGCGCGCTGGCCTTTGAATATTTATCAAAGTTGGACTTGACAAATATGAGCTGTGGGCACAGCTTCAGTGCAATGAAACCTGTGAAGGCCTTGGGGTTTGCTCATGACGAGAGGCAGGGCAGGAGACGGATATGCTCAGCCTAGCTTCAGGTGTACTGCCGAGAATGTTGAACCCTTCCGTGGCTGCACATCATAACGATTCCTGTCAGCGCTACACAATGCACCAAAACCCATCACTTTCGTACCTGGCATGGCAGATCGCACACCATAGCGACGGGCGACATAGTTGGCCGTGCTGATCATGCCGATCCCGCCCACAGCAAACGGCTTGGCTTTCTGCACCAGTGTTCGGAGAGAGAGGGCCAGGTGCTGAGCAACTTGAAGTACACAGGATCTGTAGGAAGCAGCTCAATGTCTGGAGGGCTGCACTCGTAGTAGACATCCCTACCGCTGGCCAGCTAGCATGTTCCAACTGAAATATCGAAAAGATGCGCCCAATCCCCACTCTCCTTTTGTCTTGAGGTGGCCCCAACTCACTCTGCCCTCTCATACACACCAACACCCACCAGGTCAGGCCGGTCCCTTTCCTCTACGGCCGCGAAGAAAGCATCCATGTCAACGTGCAGCCAGGTTCGGCTCAGATCCCTGGTTGCATTCAGCTCGCACACCTGAGCATCCACTGCCCTGCAGTCGTTAGTTTATGTTTGGACTTCTCAGCACAACACAAGGACTCTAGGGTGGGGTAAGAGCCGCTGACGGGCATGCACAACAGTGCCCATCTCCTATAGATCAATCCCTATGCCGACCTGTCCCGACAAGCCTTGCAAATTCCTTAACATCGAGATTAAGGAACAACACAAACATCAAACACCTCTCAAAGCCAGCGAGCTGGTCTGCGGTGAGGCGTGCGGCCGCCTGTTTCATACGATGGATCCTCACATCCGTCGCCGCCGCCTTGCGCTGCTCGTTCTTGAAGTGGTCCGATCCCTGACAGTTGGCAAGGTGACAGCGTGTTGAGCCAACTGCCCCAACAAATAGGATAGTGTTCCCAGGCATGCGATTGCAAGTGCTTGTATACAGCTGGTGGCTTGGAGGGTTCGCCACACCAGAATTCGTACATGTGTGCACCCGGTCCTATCCGCAATAACATCCAATCCTCACAACCTACCTTGGACATGTCGTGCACGATGGCCTTCACTTTCTCCTTGTCCACGCCCTCCATACCAGCCTTGAAGTTTGTGAAAACAGTGTCCATGGGAGACGAGTGTACCTCCGTGACCTGAAGGCCTTTCCCATCATCGAGCTTGACCATGTCGGCCGCCATTGGAAGGCACTAAACTTGTTTACATGCGTGCTCTACCCCCGGGTGGAGTTGCTCTGGGAGTACCGATGTATTTCGAACACGGGCTGCCTCACACAGACTCCCAGCGCACGAGAAAACCTCTTCGTGGGTTAGATCATGAATATTATTACCAATTACACATTAAGCATACTGCCAGGTATGCGTTTCTGTGCGTGATCTGAGTGCAGAAAAAGCGGGGGGCCTCGCCTGGCTCATTTGAGATCCCTGATTGGCATACCTTGAGTGGATATTTGCTGCGATGCATTGCACAGAAGATGGTGCACGCATGTTAAGATCACTACAGAGCACAACCATGGGATGCTTACTTGGAAGCTTTCCATCCATATTCAGGACGTCCTTTGGCTTCTTGACGAGGAACTTCTCTTGTCTGGTGGACCCATAGAGCCATGCACTGAGAGTGCGCGGCGCAGCAGCACAATTGTCAGAACTAAGCTGGAAAGATGTAAATCTAAGCTACAACCTTACAAAAAACATGTTGGAACCTTGTCAATCCTTTGGGCAGAGATGTTCTGGTTGACACTGGCACGTGCGAGAAGTGGCACCGAGAGACGTGTCCGTGAAATTATCGCGATAGGCTCTTCGCGATGTGCAAATCTACATTGCGAAACAAAATTGCTTTAATTCTGAGAGTGGCATCAGTCTAGCTCTCCGTAGCGCCAGATCCAACGATCTTCTCTCCTGAGGGGTGGGTGAGCACCAGGACCGTCGCTGCGCCCGAGCTTGCGCGGGATGGTCGTGCTCAGAGTGCACCACCGTCCTTTCGGGACCTTTCGACCTCAGTCAAGGTGCGAGCTGCTTTGCTGGATCCCCACCTCATCCACGAGGGAAATGGAGGGCTTCCACTGTACCAGACAAGGCATTGCATTCAGAGTCTGCCGTAAGTGGGCCGGACGCTCAGCCCACACGTTCGCTCAGCCTGCTCCGCCCCTCCTTGCAGCCATGGCGTCTCGCCCAGCAGCGAGCGACGCACGCCCCGGGCCTCGAGCCTGGCTCCTTCAGCAGCGCCTGCGCCACACCCTGCCCCACCCTCCTCATCCAAGCCGCAGCCCCACCGGCCCCGCACCGATGTGCAGCTGGGGGTCCCCGTCGACAGCCTGGAATCCACGCACTACCGCTCGCTCCTTGGTTCCGCACGCGTGGAGGTGGACTCCTGGCGCGGCAAGGAGTACCTGAAACCCCGCGGGTATGACTGCCAGCGAGGGGTGCAGCTGCCCTCCGGCATCGGTGCGTGCGGGGGAGTCGAGGGGGTTGCCGAGGAAGTGCTTATCTGAGGTTAAAACATGGAAGGAAAAGGGATGGCTGTTTGGCACGAGGATTGCTGACCTCACGGTGATGTACGACCGCTGGCATCCAGCTAGCCCCTCCAGCTTGGCCAGTCCCGTCCCTGCCTGTGCATGGCCTTTACATGGATGCATATCCCCACGACGACACTCCTGTGGAGGCCTCCACCACCACCCCTCCGCCTCCCTTCTCCCCAGACGTCTGCTGCGTGACCTCCGGCGGGCGCGTGCACTCGCGCTGGAAGCCTGAGAACCAGGACTCCTTCATGCTGCAAGCCATCCCCGCTGTGCACGACGCGGCGCTGGCCAGCCGCGGGGCGGTGGTCGTGGGCGTCTTCGACGGCCACGGTCCCCGCGGCGGCGAGGTTTCGCGCGGCGCGCGCGACTCCTTCGCCAAGAGCATGCTGGCCTCGGCCACCGGGGGCGAGGGTGGGCCAGATCCCAGCGCGGTGGGCGCGGGGGACCCCGCCGCCGGCGCCCTGGTGCAGGGCCTGCAGCTGGCCGCCACCGAGCTCAACGCCAGGGGGCGGGACTACTCACGCAGCGGCAGCACCGCCGTCGTCTGCATGGCCGAGCCTGGCAGGTTTGTTGTGGGTGGGTGAGGGGATGGGGATTGGAGGTCAGCCCATGCCCCCACAAGCGTGTGCGCAGGGGAGCCGAGAGCAGGGACTTTGTTGCTCGAGACCATCAATCCAAAGGGACCCAGGGCTCTGGCCACCATGGCCTCCTTCTTCCCAACCCCTTACCCACCTGATCCCCCCCCTGTCACACACAGCGTGACGGCCGCCTGGCTGGGCGACTCCCGCGCAGTGCTGGGCCTGCACAGCGTGCGGGGCGTGCACCGCATCCAGGCCCTCACCCAGGACCACAAGCCGGAGGATCCACGCGAGATGGCACGCATCGTGCGCTCCGGCGGGCGGGTGGTGCAGGTCTACCATGATGCGCACAACAACCCCGTTGGTGGGTGTTGAGTGTGGTGTGGGAGGGTGTGTCGCTGGCAGGGAGTGGGGGGGTAGATGGGGCAGGCAAGGGGGGG